TGAATTAATAGAATATACTATTAAGCAACTAAACAAAAATGGAACAATTACCAATAATTAAAGATCCAGAGTATGAAATACTTTGAAAATGTATTACTTGCAATAACTTCAACAATATAATAGATTATAGAGAAATAATCAATAGAAACCAAGAAACATACTACGACACCTGTTTTATGTGCAGAAACTTAGAATTTATAACACAATCACTAATTAATCACCTCAACCTACCAATCTAACATATAGTTCAAACAGCACTATTTAGATACTACCCTGTAAAAGGATATCAAATAGCATTATCACAAAGAAATAACCCTTTAAAAGTATTTTATGTAACTACCAAGGAATGGGAGGGAAAGGCAAATTAGATTAATTAGAAAGACCATGTGAATCTGAAGATATGACAGCAATACAAGAAACATTAGAAGAATCAAATGTACTACTAAAAAAATTACAATTAATCAAAGTATAGACTGAGTTTAAAATAAGCTTACAAGAATGGGTAGCAGAAAAATACTGCCCACCAGACAAAGCAACTCATAAATATAATGAACAGTATTTATTTACCCAGTAAATACCAGGATAACGTTAAAGCAAACCAAACCAGAAAATGCATCAGAATGGAAATGGTATACTTATGATGAAGTAATACAGTTACCATTAATACCAATGATTAAACAACCACTAGACTATATATTTAATGAAATAAATAGATGCTATGAAAATTGTGAAGATTATAGTAATTTAGAACAAGCATACACTAATAATGACCAAGCAAAATATTGCTTTGAAGATATAGAAAGTTTAGTAGACAAAGAAGAAATTAAGAAACATATATCAGCAATGACACACCAAGAATACTTAGTATACCCTAAACAAGTAGAAACCACGACACGAAAAGAGATACTCCAATTTGAAAAATATAAAAAATTACTAAAATAAGGAAAGAACCAGATACAAAGCAAAATAAACCCTATTAACAAAATACTGAACGCACATTATAGTTACAAGTATCTAGAATTATTCAACCCGCAAGACCGAATGAATATCTCAAAGAAATTAAAAGGAAATCTGACACTAAAGAAAATTAGTGACTATGGATTATTAGGACTACTCAATAACCAAGAATTCGTATGCTCAATAGAACATGACTACTCAAAAACCAAGAATTTGTATGCTCAATAGAACATGACTCACGAGATTCCACAATGAAACGACTAAAACTCAGAAAATCCAAAAATGGACAAAGCTAATCCACTGACACAATCAATCGTAACAGTAGAACAAATATTTACCGAATACTCAAACATACCAATTGTATAACAAAAATGGATAAATTAACTATACAAGGAAAATCCCGGCAATGTTTAATCCAGACATGTAGATCGATGTGTAAGCCCTTGTAACAATTAAATTCTTAATGACTTGAATATAAGGATCTTACCCTTATCTAGAAAAACCTGTAATACCAATCCGGCCACTTCAAACTTAACCTTAGCCCTCTAAATCAATGATCTGCAATTTAATTTAAACATATAAGGATATATAACATGACACTCTCGATATACCGACAATTCGATATAATAATAACGAGTTGACCGTAAATAAACGGAGGTCTGCCTGATAGAATTTAAATGGTGCTGATTACTGTAGCTAATTACTCGATAATAACCAGCACACATTCAAGGTGTGCTATAAAAGAAAAATATTATGTATATAAATATTATAACGATAAGGTTTAACTAATAAGACACATGAGAGATGAACATAAAGTTTACTGTTTTTAGCACGTAAATTCAAAATAAAGTTTCATAGTAATGCATACCGATACATCGAATTATGGAATCAAAAGTCAATTTAACTTATTGAATCTTATAAATGCAGTCCAAATACGACAAAAAAGATTTGGGGCATGCACAGATAGATCAGATATGATCAATGAGATATGATCTTATAAAATTTTTATACGAAAATCATCTCTGTTCTAGTCTAAAAGGAAATGTGGCGGATCACGAGTGAGATTACAACCAATAAATAAGATTCCTAACGCTAATTATAAACTTTATTAGAAACGATCTACTGCATGTCGACAAAGTAAGATTAGAGGGGGTTAATTTAAAAAAAAAAAGCCTTAGTTACAATTTAAAAAATAAAAATTTTTCACCAGTTTCAATTTAAAAAAAAAGTCTTTCACTAGTTATGATTCAAAAAAAGTCACACTAATTTTTGAGTAGTTACAATTTTTTTTGAAAGCAATTCATTTGCACGGGAATATATGATTTTCATATATACCCATGTGAATAAGCTTTAGAACGGGTTGTTACACAAGACCCATACGATAAATACTTTTATTGAAGTCGATAAAAAAAATATGAAATTTAATGTGTTACTTGATTATGTGCTTGGGCGTAATCTGTAACCTACAATCAAGTTACACATTAAATTTAAATTATCGACTTCAATAAATTTAAGTAATTAATTTCACTTTTTATATTTTGTCTCTATAAGGTGTAATTGTGATTTTTAGATTTCTTGCACCGTACGTACGGTGCAAAAAATCTAAAAACCACAGAATTCCTAAATAATAAACATCAAAAAAGTGGTCACCCCAACTGTACTACGTACCGCATTAAACAATGGCATTTTATGAATATGAGTAAGGTTAGCAATCGTAATTAGAGATGTGCTGTGCGAATGCAAGTTTTTTTTCGACTTTGCATCACATAATGCAGCATGTAATTCTGTATAATATACTGTGGACCTCTCCAAAACCTATATGCAGTAAGCAGATTTTGTATTATTACTGAGAGGTTGCCGGATTTGAAAATATAAACTATTAGATTTATAGTGAAAACTGACCTGGTAGATTAATTTTTATTGGATTTTATTGTGATAGAAACAAGTGTCTATAAGTGATTGTTAATGAAAATAACATAGATCAAAATTACATAATAACTTCTATGTGCAATTTTAAATTTTAGGCAACTTGCATCGCATTATGCAGCATTATGTAGCATGCAACATCACCTGCATAATGCATACGGAACATCTCTAATCGTAATTAGTGCTATGTATTAACGTTCGAAAGCTATAAATGCATTCTTAATACTTAAAAAAAAAATTAATAGACTAAATGAAAATCAAAAATTGTTTTCAAAATGAATAATCAAGAATCGGTTGAACCAAAAAATGTTTTGGAGGAAAATGAACAAAATTGCCCTAGATATTATTACCAAAAAGGTCTAGAAAAAAAAAATGAAATTGAAATATTTGATTCGTGTAAAAGTTCTGCAGAAAAAGACTACCCCTATGGACTAAATGGTCTTGGAGTCTGCTACCAAAATGGTATAGGAACAGATAAAAATGAAAACGAAGCAATCAAGTATTATAAAATATCTGCAATAAAAGGTGATTCATTTGCGCAAGCTAACCTTGGAGCATGCTATCAATATGGCATAGGAACGGGAAAAAATGATTATGAAGCGTTCCGATGGTATAAAAAATCTGCAGATAATAATAATCATTTTGGACAAGTTAATCTTGGATTATGTTACCAAGATGGTATAGGCACAGAAAAGGATGGAAATGAAGCACGTGTCTATTATAAAAAATCTAAAAGTAATGGTAATCCCCTTGGTGATGCATTAGACTATTTTTATAATAATGGTGGCTATTCCCCAGATGCGACTAAGAAGTTTTTGGAATCCGCTAAAGATGGCAATCCCATTGCACAATATAGACTTGGATGTTGTTACACAAGTGGTACAGATAAGGATGAAAAAGAGGCTTTTAAGTGGTTTTTGAAATCTGCTGAAGGTGGCATTTCGGATGGGCAATGCTTTGTTGGACAATACTACCTAGAAGGAAAAGGCACGACCAAGGATGAAAGAAAGGCATTTGAGTGGTGGTTGAAATCTGCTGAAGGTGACAATTCTCTTGGGCAAAAGAATCTTGCATACTGTTATCAAAATGGTGTGGGCACGCTCAAGGATGAAAAAAAGGCATTCGAGTGGTATTTGAAATCGGCTGAAGGAGGCAATTCGAAAGGAAAATATGCTCTTGGATTCTGCTATCAATATGGCTTAGGCACGACAAAGGATGAAAAAAATGCATTCGGGCTGTATTTGAAATCCGCAGAGAATGAAAATTTGGACGCAAAATTTGCTTTAGGAAACTGCTACCAGAAAGGCATAGGCACGACCAAGAATGAAAAATTAGCATTCGAATGGTATTCGAAGTCTGCTGCTCTTGGCCATTTGAACGCAAAATTCATTCTTGGAAACTGTTACGAGAAGGGCATTGGCACAGAAAAGAATGAGAAAAAAGCATTCGATCATTATTCGGAATTTGTTAAGAGCAAAAATTTATCTAAGTCATATGGACAAAATAATCTTGGAGACTGCTACCTATATGGTATAGGAACAGAAGTAAATAAACAAGAAGCATTTAATAAATATAGTGAAGCAGTTAAGGATAACAATCTTTTTGCATTCTATAATCTTGGTTATTGCTATTTTTGTGGAGTTGGAACTGAATTTGATAAAAAGAAAGCATTCGAATATTTTAAAAAATCAGCCGATCTGGGTCATATTGAAGGAATGATATACACTGGATATTATTATTATTATTATTATAAAATATTTTCGAATGAACAATTAAACAAGAATAAACAAGATGAAGAGTCATATGAACAAAAAGCATTGGAGTATTTTCTTAAAGCTGCAAATAAGGGCCATTATTTAGGTTTAAAATATATTAATTCACGTAATGCAAATGAAATGTATAAAATTGGTACATTTTATGAAAATGGTAATGTTATAGAACAGGATGATCTTAAAGCATTCGAATATTATATGAAATCTGCCCACATGGGTAATATCAACGGAATGAACAAAATTGGTCAATATCATTTAAAAAACAAGTTTGATGATAAAGCTTGTGATAAAGCATCAGAGTGGTTTTTTAAATCCGTTAACAATAATGAAGATATACGTCATAAAATGGAACTACAGAAAAATTATAAAGAATTTCAAGAACTTAGAAACTTGGCCAAAATATATCTTATCGTGTATATTGTTATATGTTTACTTTCAATTCTGGTTTATATTATATTCAACTTAATAAAAGAAGAAGGAGTTAAAGAACTTACAAACAAAATTGTATCTATTTTTTCTGGAATTACTGGAATTGTTTCTTTACTTGGAGGTCTATCATCGCTTAAAAGTTTTTTTAGCAAAAATAAATCAAGTAACGAACAAATAAAAATAAATAGCATTAATTCATTTGCGACAGATCCTAATATCTGGATTTATAAAGATATTCCATTTGCGGCAGAAACAGTTAATGTTGAACCCATTAGTGATTATGAAATAAGGAATAAAATAGATGAAATATATAACAAAATTGAAGAAGATTTAAAAGAAGCACATTCTTACTCTCAGTTAAATTTTATATTAGCAATAATTAAAAACAACATAACTATGTTATATATATCATCTACTTGGATAATTATCTTTTCTATTGCCACTATTTGTTTAACCATATATTCTTTTATTAACCCATACAATTCAAAACCTTTATTAAATTTATCCTTTTCATTTAGTATTATAAGTTTACTTTTCGCTATTATATTTTACTTGAGCACCAACCATTTTACTAAAAAATTAACTGACGATCTTAAATTTAAAGATAATATTGATATAAAAATGTTTAAAAACAAAATTATTTATTTTTTGTTTGCTATTTCATTTTTTTTATATCTAGCTAGTCTTAAAAACATGTGTAAGCAGTGTCGTGTGAAGTATAATGAGAAATGTAAAGCTTGTAAAAAGGGGATTTATATAAAAAGAGTAGAGTTAAATGAAAGTGAAATAGAAAATATAAATAAGATTATCGATTCGTTTAAAATAGAGTAAATTAAAAATAGACAAAAAAAGTTTCAAATATTTTCATCAGTATTTATTTATAATTTTAACTTATAAGTTAATTATTATAAATAAAGTTTTTTTTTTCAGAATAAATTATTTGACACCAATCTGGAGAAGTGTTGAATCTCTTTCATTGTATGCATTGCCCGTGATCAGAAAATCTTTATGATAAACTCATCAAATATCATCACATGTTCATTGGCGATGTAATATGTGTAAATCCCTAACACTTTAATAAAATATAAACGAAGTTACATGATACTAAAACCTACTTTCATTAAAGTTTAAAGCCTAACATTACATGGTGGTGCACGGGATTGTATAAATTTTCCGTCAACTTCAGAAACTAATCGTGCGCCATCAATCCAAACTGCTAAAAAAGTCCTTTTCACCAATTTCTGCCTTCTTTTTAGATTATTTCTTGTAGCTTCAATAGTCTCATTATTTAACTCTCTAAACCGAGACCCACAATAACTTCATCATCCATACTAATTTTCTGTATGTTTTCTAGTTTATCAAAGGGAATCCACTCAATAGCCTCATCATATCTTATTGCTTTTTAGTTGAGATTTTTTAATATAATAATCGATATCGTTATTTCTACTTGTCCACCCTTGTGATGTTCTCACAGGATCGCACACATTTTCCGTACTTTTTGATAAGTTTTTTAGTCTGGAGAATAAATGCATTGGTAATGATTACGAACAAGTAAACTTATTATTATACCTGCACACAAAGATAAAATAGTAATGCTTGCCACTGTGTTACAAAACAAATCATAATAAAGTACATACGTAATATAGTGACAACCGTAATTCGGCGAGTCTGTCGCTTAGGGTTGCTGGTGCAGTTATAATCTAATGGCGTGCCACTAGTGCACCAATAAAACTTTTTGGTGCATGGCGTGCCATTAGGTGCACCATTATATTATATTTTTTACTTTTAAACAATCCATATTTGTATTTATTATTAAGATAAATAAAGTAGTTTATTACAAGAAAAAAAAATTTTAAATACGTACCAAAAAATGAACAATGAATTTACTATTTTGGTCAAAGCTTTTGTACGTACGTACTAATTAAAACTTTATATTTTCCAAACGTTTTCATATTTTTATTATAGATTTTATTATCAATACATATTTTTTGGAAAATTTTGCCTATTTTGACTCCTCTCAAGATCTCTATTTTGGTCTATCGTTGCAATTAAGCATCAATACAATTATTAGAAAATCACAGTAATAGTAATGTTTGAGCATATCTCAATAATATTACATGTCATTCATATTATTGACATTTATCCAAAATGCTATAACAATAGCTAAAATTAATACTTGTACACTATTTCGATCAATACAAAATTGTGATACTTGAGAACACCCATTATATACTATATATTAGAAACTTTTAGAACTTTGAACTGGTTTATTTAATAATATTGTTAGTTTATTACAATTATTAACAATATTACTATCTACAAAGCTTTCAATAACGTATTAGCATTACATAAAGAGTTCAAGTAACAATAAGTTCTAAAAATCAGTTCAAACAGAAATATTGTTGTTATTAGTACAGTCGTCCCTTGTTAATATCAACCTAGGCTATACAATAAACTTTTATATATTAAAATTATATTGTATTCCCTCATATATATCAACTTTAATATGCTCACTCATTAATATCACTATCAACATGAATGTAAGAGCAATCTAAATAGGTTGATATGAATGAAGGACGACTGTAATGTATTTAAAAATTATGTGTATAGGATGAAACTCTAAGAAGAATTCAAGATTCTTAAAACAGGTAATATACAATATTTTATTGTTTAATGAATTTCAAAGATTATTATCTGCTTTATTTTTTTAACTCTTGAACTTATAGATAATCAGAAAATACTGGTTACTTAAATATATAGTATTTTATATTTATTCATTTAAAATACTTCATAATTTTCATCATAGAATGATCTCAAACATCAATCAAGATGCAATTTAATAGTGGTCGAAATAGTATACAAGTATTAATTTTAGCTATTTTTGTAGCATTTTGGATAAAAGTCAATAATATGATTAGCTATTACAGTGCATTTGTGAAATTAAGCAATAACATATTAGTAGTCAAATTTTTTAAATATTGGGTATTTTGCTAATGCGCTATAATAGTTGGCAAGATTATTGAAATACTTAAGCATCACTATTACTGTAATTTTCTAATAATTGTATTGATGTTTAATTGCAACGATAGATCAAAGTAAAGATTTCAATTACTGCTTAAGAGGATTATAAATAGTTTATCAAAAATTTTGCGTATTGGTAATGAAAATCAATAATAAAAAGTAGCTAAAAATATAAAATTTATTTAATGAATAAGAATACTGTATCTTCTAATATTTTTATAAAGTTATCTTTTAATTTTAATAAAAAATAAACTATAATAAATCAATTACCTTTTATGTAAGAGAGCAATTAAAAAGAGAATGAATCTATTTATTACCTGTATTTAAAATATCATATAAAGTCCAATTACAAGTATTTTCATTTTTATCAATATTTTGTTTTACTTTATCTGATATTGTAATTAATTCTTCAATAATATTAAAATTAATAAACTCCTCCATAAATGACTCTGAATTATTTTGAATTGATTCTAAAGAAATTTTTTGAACATGGCTAAATTCTAATTCATTATCTTCTTTATCAGTAAAATCTGAAGAAAATAATTCTTCATAATAATCATCTAAATCATCAATATCTTTATCTTTTTCAACCAATTTTTTAGTTAGATTTTTTTTAGGAACTTCTATAGATAAAGCAAGATTTATTTGTGAAATTATTTTTAAGGTTAAGTAGCTAATCAGTTTTGAATTTTTGTTTTTGTCATGCCCATACGTAAAAAAAGTTGTTCTACTCCAACAGAATAAGGGTGAATTGCAAATATTTTTAGAGCCAATATTTTTAATGCACTAGCCTGATAAGAAATATACTTCCAATATGCTCATGGTTCTAAAGCTATTAAATTAAAAGGTGGTTCATTATTATAATAATTTAATAAATTTTGTGAAATTTGTGTAGCTTGATCACGTGTAAAGCTCCATTTTTGCGCAAAAGTTAATGCATAAACTACAATATCATCATAAGTTAATTTTTTTGATAGTGCAATTTTACGAAATTTTGAATTTAAAAAAAATGCCAAGTAATATATAGGTTTGTCAAATTCTTTTGCTCGAAAATTGACTATATTTTTTGCATAATCAATTAATCCATAATCAAAATCTTAAAATTCACTTGATTTTAACTTTTTATAAATAAATAACAACTCTGCAAATATATCACCTAAAGTTGTATTATTAGATTCAAGTTTCGCATTTGCATCAACTATATATTGAAAAACTGTAGTAAATTGTTTATTTTCAAAAAAATGGTGCCAACTTGTAATTATTTCTTTGATTTTAGTTGGGAGAGAAGGGCATTCATTAGGAAAATTATTAATATATTCAAGGCAAACTTGAAACCCATTTTCATAGGTTTGAACTGAAAGACAAACTTTTGAAAGTGAATACCTTAATAATTTCATTAATATTTCCAAATTTATGTAAAAGAAAAGCATATATAGAGTTATTAAATACATCTATCCATCTGTCAAGTGAAAGAGTTAAATCAGACATTTCACTAATTTGATCAACCATTTCTACTAATATTCATGCATATTCTGTTTGAATTATATTGTTTGATAATTTATATCTTAATAGTGGACTATAGCTTGATCATAAGGACTTTAAAAATAAAATAAAAAATAGATTTTCAGCAAAAGTAAATAGAATATTGCTATATACTAATGCTCGTAACAACAAAGTATGTAATTCATTAGTTTTTTCCAATAATAAAATAGCTTTATCAAAATAATCAGTTACTAAAACTGCTTTGTGAGTAGGAACTTCAGTAACTTCTTCAGATTTTTTTTTGTTTACAGTATGTGAATAAAGTATTTTACTTTCAGCTAAAATTTTGTGGTATAGATTAATCATATGATTTGTCATTGCTTCTTTATGTGCTTCAAATATTTGGGCACAATATGTATATTTTGCATTATATCGTTGGGCTTTATCATTTTTTAATTGTTTTGAATGCAAAAAGCCTGTCCAATGAGTGCTGAAATTTTTAGGTGGAGATATAAAATTCTCAACCAAATCCAAAGTATCAGAATCTATAATATCTTCAAATTCAATAAAATCTTCAGATTCAGTAATATTTTCAGAATCCATGATATCTTTGGAATTTACAATATCTTCAGAATTCATGATTTAAAAATAATATTGAAAAAGGATAGTAATATAACTTTATATGAATATAGTGTTAATTTTAAAGAATTAATCAAATAATGTGTTAAGAACTTGAGGTTAAAAAAATTTACTATAAGTATTGAAGACAAAGAACAATTGCTTTTTACAAGATCACTTTTTCTACTTCTTTTATACATTTTAATCAATTAATTTGCTAACTATTTTATTCTTAGATTTCTTTAAAATGATCAACTCCTTGATACATATTTTTCTTAAATTTTGAATTTAAAACCTGAATGTATAACGAAAATAATACTATACAATAAATAAACAAATAAATAAATAAAATAATAAAGTAACGAAAAGAAAACAAAAAGGTATGCAAATAAAATTCTTTCTTAATAATTATTATACAAATAGTTTCGTATCTATCACATGACCATTATAATCAATCATGCATGATACATATATATTAATGTATAAACAAGAAATATATGTATAAGTAATAATTTAAAAACTATCGATATGTGATGTAATTAGTTATTTGCATAAAAAATGTTATAAAAGATTAGTATAAAGTGCTGTAAATAAAAAAAAGTGCACTGTAAATAAATAACAAAAAATGTTGTAATCAAGGAATTTATAATATATAAGCTAAAAAAAACTTCAATTTTCTGGTTTTGCTATTGCCTGCTTTGTATAATTAGGTGCTTACCTGTCTACCCAGATATGACAAATCAACAAATGCATTAAGAAAATGTAGTCTTGAAATTAGAAACAGTTATGCATGCAATAAAATATAATCATATTTTAAAGATTATATACATAATAACACAAAGGCTGCTTGATCAGTCATAGCAGTTAGTAACGTTGTTTGCACTAAGCTATGAGTAATTAAAAAGGCAGCTAGTAAGTAATTCATGTAGTATTTGAACAGTATTAGTACAAAAGAAATGATCGTAGATTTGAGGCTAAAGTGGCACAAAACCAATATTCAGCTATTATTATTTATATATATAAAAAGAAAACTGAAATTAAATTATCAGCTAATATCAATGCTCTTTTATCACTATTAACTTAATTTAACAACTGTAGCTGGAAATAAGAGAATGAATAGTATATATTTAGGCTACAACCTACTGTAAGTAAACAAGGATGTAGGTCTCAATAAGAAAGTAAATAGACATTACAGTTTATATATTGGCATCTTCTATATAATACTTTATATACTATGTAGTATCTGGTATTTACATTGACCATGTAGCACTGTATCTGGGTACTGAAGCAGAGAGATATATTGTTTGAACTACAATATACTTATGTATTTGCGAACATAAATATCACCAGGGTTTTTTTTAAAGCATACAATGTATAGTACCTGGATATAGATTAAAATTAAGCCATTAAATATCACCAGTATAAATCATAGAAGGTATATAAGTTAGCAGTCTACAGCATCTGCAAAACCTCAATATATTAGCTTCTGGACCCCTATGGAACTCTGAAGCTATTATAAAAATTACTATTTTGTAATATTTGTAGTATTAATACAAAACTTTTAAGCTAATTAATAATAAAAAATAAAATAAATATAATTGGCTCACCACTTTTGTGCATGTTTATACTGGTGTGCCAGGTAGTGCACCATTGGTGTCGCCAAGTGCCCTGTACCAGCAACCCTACTGTCACTTCACAATCTGGGATGTTGTTAGTGTAGATTATTTATGCTTTGTGTCTCCATTATCTGGCATTTGGTCCTATTTGTATATCAGTTGACCTTGTCAATCCGTTCACATAACCTTAGATAGACCATAATTTTCTTGTAGTAATTTTGTTATCTTTCGATAGGCGAGTGTTCTCGTCCTTGAATTAGGCTTCAGACTTCAATTCTAGTATTATTTAACTTCTTATTTTTTAGTTATTAAGTTTTAGTGTAACTTTGTTTATTTAGTTACCTTGTTTTTCTTTTTTTTTTATTTGGTTATTTCTTTATTTCTTTATTTATTAACCCAATTTGTTATATTTGATTTCTGTTTTTCTTTATTTATTTTATAGAGTTTTAGTTAATAAACAACTTATTTATATCATATTGCATATTCTTAAGTTTGCCATACATACCCTCCAAATTGCATTATAAACACTAAGAAAATATGTCTAATTTTGTCTGCTATTGTTAATTACTATCATAATTAACCTAACAATTATCTGCACTAAATTATTTTACTATTTATCCTTAAACTATGCATTGCATAATTAAATACATTATATTGTGCAAGTAAATTAGTCTCAATTTTTTATACATTGCTATCAATGCTAATTAGGCTCAATAGCCAAATCACTTTTCCACTTAATAGTAATATATGGTGCTGATTAGAGGTTGGAACCAGTTTTAAAAATTCGAGTTTATCACATAAATATTTGAGTTTATCACACCAAAGTTTGAGTTTATCACTTCAATCATTAATGATTGAAGTGATAAACTCGAATTTTGGTATAATAAACTCAAATTTTTATGTAATAAACTTGAATTTTTAAAACCGGTTCTAACCTCTAGTACTGATTGTGTGAAGTAAAACTATATAAATACTCTTCATATAGCAGATTTTAACTTTTATCTTTATCTAAATAATCTTCACAATAGATATCATAAAGCATTTTTTAATAGTTAATATATTATTAATTATTTCTATTAAAATTTTTTAACTTTTCTTGCACTATATACTATTCTATTGTAGAATAACTATCTATCTAATTTTTAATTTTTAGTAATTGTTTTGATATAAATTACTATATAACTAATTATTTTTAGATTACAATTTATATTTCAAATATTTTTATATTTATTCAGCTAATAACTTTCTTTAAGAAATTTAGTTTTTAGTTTTTATCATCTTGTAAATTCTAATAGTTATATTGATCTTTCTAATAATTTTTATAATATTTATAATCAGATTAATTAGTTATTGTAGATTCTCTTAGCCTTCAAGTAGATATTAGTAATCATATCTAAAAAATTATTAACAGTGTTAATTTAATTAAACTTGATAAAAACTCAAATAATGTTATAATTAAAGTTTTTAATAATAATTTAACTCAAAATTTGAAAAGTTTAAAAGAAAAAATAAACTGATAGTAGACTGTTTTTAACTTCTTATACCATGCTTGAAGATGCAAATTAAACAAATTAAATATAAAATAACAGTAAAAATAGGTATAAAATAATTAATTATCACCAAAGTAAATCATATTGTACAAAAATTTTCTAGAATAAAATCAAATACTTGGATATAAAATATATATATATATATAGAAACAGATATTCAACATTTTTTATTTTTATATTGAAATATTTTTTTCTCTTTAAATACTATTTTATTATATTTAAAATATCTTTCAAATCTTTCTAAAATATTTATAACTAATACTGATTGAATAACAAAAGCCAATACTAAGTAGAAAAAGTTATATCACTCATATAATCTAGAAAATATTAGACTAACATGACACCAAATCACTGAAGCAATCTCCAAAAGATGTACTAAACTCCAAACCAACTCAACTTCAATGCTTAATAGCATCTTAACAGATATAAGAACTCCATAAAGTTTGACAATATTAAACTTAACCAAAACATTATTACAGACTCTATTATTATTAAATTACATATCCAACAGCATTTCAACAACTGTACTGCAACTTGTTCAATTAATAAAACACTATTTAATACAAAGTAGCAAGCTAAATATGACTCCAAACCTCACATTCAACCAGATTAATATCAAGAAGTATTCTTTCCTTTACCCAAGAGAAGATATTTACCACACTTAGCCAGCTGCCTAACAACAAAGCCTGTGGCCCTTCAGAAATAAGCTACAAGATGTGTAAACTTGCAGGCTCTTTCTTTTTACAAGCTATAACTGTATTTCTAAACAGATATCTTCATACCCAAACAATTTCTAAATAGTGGAGAAAAGGCAGGATTTATTTTATCTCCAAGAAACCAATTTTTGATAGAAATCTAACTAATACTAGGCCAATAAGCCTTATAGAGCATATTAAAAAGCTTTATACCAAACTCCTTACCAACCAGCTAAATAATATTCTATCTAAATATCTAATCATATTTTCTTTCAACTATGTTACACTTCCAGACAACTTCACATCTATTTCAATCTATATCCTTAATAATATTAAAGAAAATACAATTTGCAACTTCAATCACCTATGGATACTCTCACATGACATGAGCAAAGTCTATGACTCTGTTAATTTTAGCCTATTTCAAAAATCACTTCACAAAATAGTAATATCTGACCCTTTCTCCAAAATTCTTACCAACCTTGCAGACTAATTCAATAGGTATTATCAATCTTGGCCTTACTAACTCCTACCTTGTTCAAAATAGAATTAATCAGGGAGAAACAATTACCCTACTATTCTGAAGAATTTATTACTATTTACTAATTACAAAAATTTTTATACATCTACCAGGCTATATTATACATTCCTCATGGCAAACAAGTCTAATCTCACTGTTTTCCAAGAGGCTGCACTGCTCTATATCCATTCTCACATACATGGGCAACACTGTCTGAATTGCCAACATCAACAAAGATTTAGAAAGAATTATTTAAATGTCTTTATCATTCTATAATATAGTAAATATTCAAGTTAATACCTCAAAATTGACCTTCATATCAACCCAACCCAATAGCAACTTTTCTTTCCTACAAACAAACCTAACAACAATTTCTTTTAACCAACTATTCAAGTTTTTAAAATGTTGGTTTATACTCAACAACAAATACTTTAAGCAAATCAAACTCATTTAGGAGGAAGCTCTTAATCTAGCCTATATTGCCAACTCAAAAAAGATAATAAACAAGCAAATAGCATATATTATTAATATAGTTATAATCTCTACAATAGAATACAGAATTTACAATATAGTCATTTCTCATACTATATATATACAAATTCTTAGCAAATATCTAACAATTGCCAAACACAAATCCTAC